CTTCCTTCCTTCCTTCCTTCCTTCCTTCCTTCCTTCCTTCCTTCCTTTCTTTCTTCCTTCCTTCTAAATGCACTCATCAAGCATTTACTAGCCAAGCACCATGCTAGGCTCTGAGGATACAAAGTCCAAGGGAAAAAAGTCTCATCCCAGCCCACAAGGACAGGCTTATATTTTATTAGGGGGAAGGGGATAAGGGAAAATATATGTATTTTGAATAAATGAAGATTGCATAAAGAACAAGGCAAGGGGATGAAATACTAGCAACTAGAGGGAGGAGGGATAAGGACTTGTGTGGGAGAGGACCCTACCTGTCCCAAAAAACACAGCTACTAAACGTAGGAAGTTTCACTCTGATGGCCGTCTATCCACAGGGAAAGACTAGGTTAGCAGAAGGGATCCACTGAGGCAGATTCATTTCCCTTTTGTAAGTTGCTCCAGTGAAATTCACCATCAGAATCTCAGTAAGAAGACCCACAGTCCCTCCCCCCCTACTCTCCTGTAGAAAGCAAAGCTAGGAAATCGCCGACTCCCCTTTTTTCCTCCCAAGCCCCAGGTGCGGCCCCTTGTCCAACAGGGTTACCCCCCGTACCTCTTGACTACTGTCCTTGCTCAGGGCCCAACCTGTAGCAAGGTCTGGTTGCCAGATGTGTAAGCCCCTCACTAATGAGCCTCTCTCACTGGATTCTAATTGGCAAACGCCCTCAACTCTGGTGACTAGGGCTTGGTGGGGGGGGCGGGGCAAGGAGGGCAAGATGGAACATGAGCCCCCATCCTCCTTCCAGAGTTCAGGTAGGAGCCATGTGCTTTCAGAGGGGAACTACTTTCCATCCTGGATACTTGGCTGAAAATCCCTGAACCATTCCAACAATTGACCAAGCCCCTAGCGATATCGACCTTGTATCTTGTACCAAGGAAAGTGGTGGGCAGACAGAGGGGTCTGTAGAGCATGTGGTAAGATAGGAAGCTAGGAGTAAGACAGTAGGCTGCTGCAGCTTTCCTACAGTTACAGCCGTAATGGGGAACTTTTCTTTATAATACGAAAATGATTACTATTCAAAATAATCACTATAATAAGGATTACACTGGGAAGGAGAAAGATGGGGTTTGAGCTAGTTGGCGTATAAAGTTATTCAAGCAATTTATGAGTAAGGACCAGCCCTGGGGGGCAGACTCAGGCACAAGCTAACTACTGTTTTATAATTGGAGCCAGGAGAGGGAAAATGTCCTTGTTTTAATAACAAACATAATGTGCGAGGTGCATACTCCTCTGTAAGCTCCAAGCAAGTCCTGCTGAACTAAATAGTGTTTCTGTTGCGATGAATATAACATCCCAGTTAAATGGTTAGAACACCTGTTGACATTAATACCAAATTATGCAGGGAAATATGTGAGCCACTCCCAGAAACATATATATCTATATACACACGTACATACATATATACAAATATTAAGAGGATTAGAGGAATTACTAAAAGAAAAAAAGTTATTTCTGTGTTTAATGCTAACCTGTGTTTAACTATGGAAAAGAGCTTGAAGTGAGGCAAATAGGAAGAATGACTACTGGGGCCCTGGTAGAAACCTAGTGGAATAACTATCTTAAGGAGAAATGTCCTTGAATGCAGAGGAAAGCCGGCTCAAATTTATTCATTCATAAATTAAGAATAATAATAGACATAAGGGCTTGACCTGTGATTTCACTGATGTAAGGAAGTGAGGAAATTTCTCCTATAGCCAATGCAGGTTGGCACCTTCTCTCCAACATGCAGCGTGGACTAGATCAGCATTGTAGGAAAGATTTTCATCTGGGGCTCGGACCAGATAAGAGCTGAGGTTCCTTCTGGCTCTAAAATTATGTGGGATTCTAGGCTTTCTATTTCCTAACTTCCCTCTCCTCCTTCTTTTGATTGTGTCTGAGCTACAAGGAATCTTAGAAGCCACTGAGCCAAGGCCCTCACTTTTTGATAAGGGAAACTGAGGCAGAGATTAAATGACTTGCCAGGGCCATGTAACTAACAAATGTCTGAGGTAAGATATGAACACAGATTTAATCTGACTTTAAGAACAGTGCTCTGTACACTCCACTACTGGGATATGGATGGAGAGATGGATGAATAATCATTTGCGTGTGTGTGTGTGTGTGTGTGTGTGTGTGTGTGTGTGTGTGTGTGAGAGAGAGAGAGAGAGAGAGAGAGAGAGTAAGAGAGACAGACAGATGGGCCAGACAAAGAAAGACAGAGTTGGATATAGAGATACATAGAGAGGATAAGAACAAAGAGGAGGAGATGAAGAAGAAGAGGAGGAGGAGGAGGAGGAAGAAGAAGAAGAAGAAGAAGAAGAAGAAGAAGAAGAATTGAGATACAAAGACAAAAATGAAACAGACCCTGTCCTTAAGGAGTTTATGTTTGATAGAAGATGGAGAAAGACAGAGCGAGAAACAAAGAAATAGAGAATGAGAGAAAATAAAAAAGAAAAGAGAAAAAAGAGAAAGAGAAGACTGAAGAGAAAGAAAGAGAAAAAGAAATAAAGGGAAAAGAAAGAAGAAATAAATAGGGAGAAAGAAAGAAAAAGAAAGAAAGAGGGAGGGGAAGGAAGGAAGGAAGGAAGAAAGAAAAAAGAAAGAAGAGAGGGAGGGAAAATGGAGAAAGAAAGAAAGAAAAGAGGGAAAGAAAGAAGAGAAAGGGAGAGAGGCGGGAAGGAAGAAAGGAAGGGAGAGAGGGAAGGAAAGAAGGAAGGAAGAAAGGAAGAAAGAAAGAAAGAAAAAGAAAGAAAGAAAGAAAGAAAGAAAGAAAGAAAGAAAAGAGGGAAAGAAGGAAGAATAAGGGAGAGAGGGAGGGAAGAAAGGAAGAAAGTAGGGAAGAATGGAGGAAGGAAGGAAGGAAAGAAGAAAGAAAGAAGGAAAAGAGAGATGGAGGGAGGGAAGGATGAAAGAAAGAAAGGAGAGAGGGAAAGAAAGAAGAAGAGAGAAAGGGAGGGAGGGAAGGAAGGAAAAAAGAAAGGAGGGAAGAATGGAGGAAGGAAGAAAGAAAAAAGAGAAAAAGAAAGCAGAGAGGGAAGGAAGAAGAAGGGAGAGAGGAAGGGAAGAAAGAAAGAAAAAAAGAAAGGAGGAAGAAAAAAGAAAGAAAGGAGGGAAGAATGGAGGAAGAAAGAAAGAAGGGAGGGATGGGGAAGGAAGGAAGGAAGAAAAGAAAGAAAGTAAGTAAGAAAGAAATGAGAGAGGGAAGGAAGAAAAAGGGAGAGAGGAAAGAAAGAAAGAAAGAAAGAAAGAAAGAAAGAAAGAAAGAAAGAA